ACGACAGAGATTCGGACATTAACATTCGAGATTAGTGTACATATGTGTGATTGTATATGGATGAGGGTTTTTTTCGGGGGGGGGGGGGAATAACAGCTGTCCCGTTTTTTTATTTTCTTAATATGGTCACCCTACCTTAGAGGATTGTTAAGTAACGTATTTTGCTGGATACCTTGCCTATAAATGTATAAAAAAATTCAACTGTCACTTTTGCCAAAATAATTTTTTAACTAGTAAAGATTTAAATGAAAAAAATCAAATTCTTTTAATAAATAAAAATTATAGTTCTTTCGAAAATGATAATACCGGACTTAAGGCACCCTCTATTTATTTTAATAAAATAATTAACCATAGTTTGGATATCTATCTATATATATAAAAATCGATGTACATTTTGAATACATTTTATAGCTCAAGATCCACCGAACCGATTTCGATAAAAATTTTAAGGCATATTAAGATTGATATGTAGATAGTTTCTGTGAAGTTTGTACGCAATGTGATATGTGGTTCCGGAGTTATGGCCTTTTAAGTGTACAATATTAATCACGTACGCAAATTATCCATCACATATTCACAAATGCTACATCGTTGGATGCGCTCTGAACGTACGAACGTAGATATGAAAGAAAATTACACTATTGTCGATAAATAATGATTTTAGAGAGATTTTAGTTTGTGACTAATTTGATGACGTCATATATGTATTATATTCGTTTGTTGCTAGGGGATCGAAAAAAGAAAGAAGGTAAATAATAAACATCTGATTTAAGAATTGCATTTAGAGAAAGCAATAACTGCATACGGGCGAATTCTATATATGGGCTACGAAGTGCACGGGTTCAGCTAGTTTTTCAAAAATATTTTTAAAATTATTCCTATAAAAAAACAACTTCATTTTAAATTAATGCAAAAAATAAAAGTTGATGGTTTAATAAACCAGTGGTTAAATGATGGTAACGATTGTAATTGTAAAAAACATAAGTTATTCATTATTGATCAGTTATTAATATGTAAAATATTTAAAAAAAACTCAAACAATTTCTACTACATCACAACTAGCAAAAATATCAAAATTAAAAATTTTAAATCATATTTAATTTCATAATTCGTTTGCTTTCGTATATCTTTGTTATTATATAATTTGTAAATTGTTATGATGTCATGATTGCATTTATTAATTATTTATTTGAATTAATATTATTATTATTATTATTAAGTTTCTTTTTAAAATTATTTATTATTTATTATTATATATTTTATATTTATTTGTTTGAATAATTATTATTCTTATTTAATTTCTATTTTATGATTATATTTATTTATTTGAATAAATACTGTTATTATAATTTCTGGGTTTTTATTCTTGTTCCTTCATTAGTAATTTAAGCTTGTTTTTTAATTTTTTTTTTTTATTTTGTATTTTACCACCCTACTATTTAAATATTATTAGATCTTTGCTCTGGAATCGAATCAATGGAAACACCGAAATGGAATGAATATTGTTTTTGTAAGGAATATAAATTATTTCTCTTTACCTGGTTTGTAGAGAATAATATTTTTTAGGAAATTACATTGACATCGGTTTTATATTTTATTATTATTTGATTTTGTTTTGACTTTCAAAATGAAAAAGAAAAATTGTAATTTTAAATAGTGTTTAAATTGTTTTGAGACATACATAAACAAATTGATGTCATACTTTCAAAAATATTATTCTCTATTGTTTTTGTAATTGGTGATTTTACTCTTAAGATTACTCAAAAACATGATTTTGCGTAAATACGTTTTGTCTATGTTGTGCATGGGCCTGAGATAGAAAACAAACGATGGGTCGACATTCTCATATTCTCTTAATAATTAATAATAATAATAAATGATTTTAAAGGGCTATCCAAGGAAAAAATAGATAAAAGCTAAATCGTTAGTATTTGGTATAATTAAATATTGGGTACCGTTAAAAATATTATCCATCACTCTATTCGAACGTTATCGTCGTTTTAAAATAACGCGTGACGTCACAGGTTCCATCGGTCGGCCGTCCGCCTATTTTAATATATGTATTTCCTCGACGCGTCGTTATTCATTTATTTATATATTAAGTTATAATACTCAAAATAAAAAGCGATTTTCATATCACAAAAGCTTAGATATTTTTCTACAACTTGATACCAACATCGTATTGAAATAATAAATATTAAACGTATAAAACGTTTATTTTATCCATCATTTATATATATTCTTGTTTGTTAATTTACCAACATCAATAATAACAATATAAATGCAGTTTAAACAAAAGCATAGATATGTTCTTACAACCAGATACCATCATCCTTTTGAAATAATAAATATCAAACTATTAAAGATAGAAAACATTTAATTTATCCATTATTTATAAATCTTTTTGTTTATTAGTATTTTACAAATATTTCAACAGCCGTTCGTGTTAAATAATATCCACCACTTTCCAATGTTTTGACTGTCACCTTATCTTAGTTTTTATTATTTTATAATAAACTTTAATTGTCTGTACATTAATACAATTTTTATAAATATATTATTCCGTTCATTATCAGACATTAGTCGTGTATCTACTTCGTAGCTAGTGTGATCCGTATTCGACAACAGAAAGTTTTCTATAGTTCGTTTTTCTTTTTATAATAATTATTGTTAAACTTAAAATGTTGTGTTCGGTTTTCGGTTGTACGTGTTATAGCCACAAAGAAACAAATAATGACGTTCATTTTTACAGATTTCCAAAGCGCGAAAAATCTCCACAAAGATATAAGGTATGGGTTAATTTTTGTAAACGTAAACATTTTATACCGGAAAAAAATAGAATTTGTTCGTCCCATTTTAAAAGTGATGATTTCAATGAGCCTGATGTATTACGTAAACAACTTATGCCAGGCACAAAGGTAGTGATCAGATTAAAATCTAATGTATTTCCTACTATTTACAAAACATAATCTGTCGACCCTACTCTTACCTTACCATCCACAAGTAGATGTGAAAGACAGAATAGAAAAAAAGAAAATCAATTCACGCCAACTTCATTAAAATCGAGCACACCATTAAAAAAATCTAAAGATGAACTAAACTTTTTGGAAACGCAAAATGAACATTCTTTTGACTTAAGTTACAATTCTATAGATTTTATTCAAGAATATAAAAATAATATTAACGATATTGGTATTCAATGTGGTTTAGGCAATGAAAGTGTTGCTCAATATTTACTAAAGACTAATAACGAATTGTCATTTGAATTATGTGAAGATGTCAGTGAAGAAAAAAGTGATGAAGATGATATTGATACATGTGTTGATAATAATGATTTAATTTCAAAACCAAACATTGACAATAATGCTTGTTTTATTATTTTTTGGGTAAATATTTTGTGTTTGTTCAAACACTGTCAAGAATGTTGTTCATCAAGAAATATATCTATGAAACATTATGTTTAAGGTACATTTTTGTCTGTTACTACACTTTGTGAAGAGGGTCACACTGTTTAATGGACTTCTCAAAAAAAGACTGGAAAACGCCCAGTAGGAAATATTGTAATTGGAGCTGCTTTAACGCTTTCGGGAATTTTATTTGCTCAAATGTCAGTTTTTGTCAATCAATAAATCTAGCTTTTTTTTCACTTACAACATATGACATTATTACTAAATTACATACAGGTCCAGTAATTAATAATATGTGGCGTGAACACCGAAAAAACAATTTAAATGTAATTAAAAATTCTGAAAAAAAATATTTGGTTGGCCGGAGATGGGAAATTTGATTCCCCGGGTTTCTGCGCAAAATATTGCACTTACTCAGTAATGGACTTGCACAGCAGTAAAATTATTGATTTTAATTTAGTCCAAAAAGGTATGGGTTCTGGGGATTTGGAACGAAAAGCTTGCGAATCGTTAATCGATAAATTAATTGAAGAGGAAAATTGTAATATTGAATTATTTCTAACGGATCGACATAGAGTGTATTCGATATTTTTTACGTACAAAATATCCTCAAATTGAACATAAATTTGATGTGTGGCATTTGTCTAAGAGTTTGTCGAAAAGATTGAAAGGACTCAACAAAATATATCCAGATGCATATTTATGGAAAACAAGCATAAATAACCATTTATGGTGGTCCTCTCAAACTTGTAACGGTGACGGATCATTACTTGTCGAAAAATTCACTTCAGTACTTAACCACATTAGTAATATACATGAATGGGAAGATAATGGTAAAATAATAAAATGTGAACACAAAAAGTTAAACGATGAAGATTTAAAAAAAAAGCTTTGGATATATCCTAATAGTGAGTCTTACTTTGCATTAAAAAAAATTATTATGGCTAAAGATTTGTTAAAAGATTTACAACATGCAAAACATTTTGTACATACTGGTCGCTTGGAGTCCTACCATAACGTTCGCTTGAAATATATGTCCAAAAGAATACACCTCAAATTTAATGGAATGTATTTACGTTCGATAATTGCCATTCTCAATCACAATTATAATATAAACAAAACACTCATAGGAGATAAGTTGGTTTTTTCAAAACCAATCGGCCGTTACACATTAAAAAATCGTTACAAAAATCCATCAAACAATTGGGGACAAATTATAATTGAAAATATTAAAATTAATGCAAGCCAAGATAATAATTTGAAAACAGAAATGAGTACAATCGATGACAATTTACAAATCCCAACCAATATAGTTTCAATACCAAAGCCAAATGTTGATGAAATGAGATTGAAAAAGTATTCAAGATTTCAAGAATAAATATTTTAAAAAATAAATTACTTATAATTTAGATATTTTTATTTAAATTATGAAATTATTTTCTAATTACTAATATGTATAACTTAATCATTAATGATATATTATTTTTAAGGTAAGAATAGGTACATAATAATTATTATTAATAGTTAATATAATTTATTGTGACATGATTATTTATTGAACATAACAAAAATAATAAACATAATTAAATACAATTACGAGGGTAAATGTGTATTTGATTTTTTGAAACCCATATACAATCCATCTTTTTCTAGGTACTTATTTCTTATTTTGTTTATAACACATGTAGGAATGACAACTCTTATTCCTAAAAATAATTAAACTTGGTTACTAAAATGTAATCTATAGGCTAAAATATGAAATTTTAAACACAACAAAGCAATAATTTTTCTCTTATAGATTATGAGGGAATAATTATATTTTTGCACAAATACATTTTAATATTTAAATATACCTTTTCCCAATGAAGTCCAAGAATTAACCCAATGAGTGAATTGTACATAACAAATGTATTTCCATGTTTTATTTAGTACTTCTAATGCACTCAACTGCTTTTTCTTCAATTTATTCTTAGTTTTCATAATCATCTGTTGGCGAGTAATATTCAATATTTCTTCATCTAAAATGATTTTTTCAAAGGAAGTAGTAACAGTAACACATTTTTTTGAATCCAATAATTGTTTTATGTTATCAAATTCTGAACAACACATGCATTTAAAATCGTTCGACATTTTTGCACAATTTTCACAACCACACCACTAATTTACTTCAACTTGAGTTCTTTTTTTAATATCCGGTAAACATAAGGATATAGAATAATTTGGTTCAAATCTATCAATGTCACCAACATTTGGTTCAAAACTATATGGTTTTAAAGACATTTTAGAACACACAGCGTTTGACGTAAGATAATGAATACTAAGATATAGAGTGCCTAATACGAGTAGTATGTAACAAATTGTAATACTATTGATACAGATAACAAAAATAAAACGTAGTCTGCAGTGGTATTTAGGAAAACCCATAAACTATATTTGTATTATAATTGTTTATGTTGGTTTGGTATATAAGCAAATAATAAATATGTATAAATGATGGATAAAATAAACGTTTTATACGTTTAATATTTATTATTTCAATACGATGATGGTATCAGGTTGTATAAAAATTTCTAAGCTTTTGTAATAAGAAAACCGCTTTTTATTTCAAGTATTATGACTTAATATATAAATAAATGACTAACGACGCGTCGAGGAAATACGTGTATTAAAATAGGCGGGCGGCCGACCGATGGAACCTGTGACGTCACGCGTCATTTTAAAACGACAATAAGTACTGAACGGAGCGAAGCAATGAAAAACTATTTTTATCAAAATTCATAATTGTTTTCATTCTACAATATTTCATAAAAATATTTTTTTTTAATTTTTCCTTGGATAGTCCCTTAAGGAAGGGAGCTTGTATTATTCAGAAATCTATTCCGATATAAACGCAGATAATGATCGTGACGATCGATATCTATTATTGTTATTATTGACTATTAATATAATTCATAATCATGATACATCGACTGTCGCGCTACAGGTTTTTTTTATATTATTGATTGATATAATGATACAACGCTACCTATTATAGTAGTCCGTATAAACATAATATTAGTTGCCGAAAACCCCTATACCATGGGCTATCTGTCTATTCTATAATCAATGATGTTACTTTAATAATGTGTCAATTTCATTTCTTGTTTTGATTATGTTAGAAATAATTTGTACGATTATAATCAGTGCTCGACATGGCAAAATTAAAGAAGGACTCTGTTGACTTAAAAAAAAGAGCGTCCCCAAAATTTGTTAAGCGGTATAATTATGATGTAATAATAGTAGGGGGACGCTAAAATTTCTGAAAATTATTTGTGGTATTCCGTCTTCCTGGGTCCCCCCACTAAGTCGAGCACTGAGTATAACTTTATGTTCAGTAAATTTAATACTTCCACGTATTTAGTAAAATAAACGGCTAGATGAGATATGTAGATTTTCAAAACCATTTATAAACATAAATTATTCCGTAAATGTCGTGTATATATTCACGATTCTGCATGATTTCAAATGCAGCGTAACATAAGTACTGACTGTATTATTAAAAACGCCAAGTGAGACAGAATTCAAAATAAATACAATTAATTGTAATGGAGTAAAGAAGAGGACATTGCACGAAACAGAACGTATTATTATTAGTTGGGGTATATTATGAATATAAATCTTCCAAAAGTTAAGTTAACTTATTAAAATATTTATCAATAACTGGCCATCGATGCCATGGAAAAAGCTTATGATTAATTATAAATAATTAATTGTTATTAAAAACCAATTTTATTAAAAATGTTCAATGACTATTGATTATACTCATTGTGATTCTGATCAGTTTTGTGTTTATTTTCTATGATCAAAATATGTTTTTTCAATAAAAATAAAGTTTTAAATAATTCAATATCATTTGCAACTAAATAAATAAAATAATTAAATTAACATTTTTAATTTACTTTATTAAAATTATAATTACCACCACATATAAACTACTAGTATCTATATGAATCAAAACGTTTTTATGTATTACAGACATTAATTATTTATATTATTATTACTATCACATTTATATTTGATATTATTATTGTTAATGATATCAATATATTATATATTAATATGAATTAAATATGAAAAGTTTAAATAAAATATAAAATATAAAATTGTTACTTTTAAAACTGTATGAATACTGTTTAGTTGTATTATTATTTTATTTACAGTATATAATGTTATTACCTATGAACTATTAGTATGTTTATTGTTTATGTTTTTTTGCTTGTTGATGTCTAATTGTCTTTTTTTGTGACGGTCTAAATATTCTTACTATTATTACAGAAATGAAAACGTCGCATACGTTGCACTTTAATTTTTGCAGAATCGTTTGTGTTTATGAATGGTTATGAAAATTTACAAAATTCCGCAAATTTTCTACAAATACCACCTAAAACCCATTGATTTGGTAACAACCTTCTTCTGTTATATTTACGTTTACTGAAACAGCTTTCATTGATTTCAAAAGTTGTATTAACACCATCTGTTTTAGCACTATTGTTTGTTAAAGCGTATTCACAGACTTCACATAAAAAGATGTTCCAGTCCACTGTTATGTAGTGGTTCATGTTTATTTATCCTCACAAAACTTGATTGAAGTGTATTCCTTACTCCAACAATAAATAAACATCACTATTGTTTTTGCAGTCGATACGGGAAACATCCAGAAAATTGTCCGCACGCAATTGTCGACACTCACGTTTTGAACAACACCAATGATTTTGTTTGTCAGCGAGTTGTAATACCATTTCACGTTTACCTATTTTTACATAATCTCGGAATATGCAATATGCCAAGGGTTTTTAAAAAACTCACTTCACATTATTCTATCCATCACATTCGCTAGCTAATGTAAACAAATTCATGACTACCTACTCAAATCCAATTATTGACTGACCGCCGAATGTACTGTCCTTCCGTGTGTTCTTTCAAAGTGATAAGATAAGGCAATAATATAAGATACAGTTTTAGAATTAACGGAAAACTAAAAAAAAGTAATGGTACTGAATTAACGGAAAAGGTACAAAATCACTTTACCAACATTAAGTTTAATTGACCTTGTCAAGAAAACTTTAAAAAAAAAAAAACATTAGTTTCCAGTCGATAATATATACTTACTAGTATTATTTTTAATATTATTACAGTGAAAATAATGTAAAGTATTTGTGGGGAAAAAAATCAAGAAAAACCAGTTTATGGTTTGTTTTTATATAAAGCTCGATTTATATAATTATTGTAAATCTATTATGCACCTTAGTTCCTTATTTATATCCATGAAACAAACGATTGTGAGAATGATGATGTATTGAAGGTGATTCAGCATTAAAAATGTATGAAAAATGTATTAAAAATGTAGGATTTTATAAAATAATCAAATATTTGGAAATGGCATTATCGTAGGTTATTAAAAAAATAGTTGCTGGAAATGGGTAAGTCCATTAACCATTTAGCCTTTTGTTCAAAATATGTTCATTGATTATGATTTATATTTTGTGCTACAGTTTTATTATATAATTATTTATAATCATGTTATAATCAATAGGTATCCAAGTATTTTTGAGATACATTTACCCGTTCGTGTTCTAACTAAACATCAAGATGGTCTACCGCAAATTTATCTAAGGCATTTTTTTTTCGCAGTAGAGAAATATCTTGTTTGCAACCGGTTATTGGACTCTATTACCGGAAGATAATACCATCACCCATGTAGCATAAATGTTTAGAAAATTAATACTCTTCAAAATACGAGAAACTGGTTTTACTGCATTATAAACTCATTGCTAGGAGGAGGAACAGCACATTTTTATACAATAAATTATAAAGTTTTTCTTGTTTCGTCGATTTTCAATTAAAAAAAAGGTCATAAATTTCATCAAGGGCGTCATGAGTAAACCTCAGTTCCAATAGGGCGCCGCGGGTCAGAAAAGTTTGGGAATCGCTGTATTAGTATATATAACGAATACACTGTACCGGTTAGGCCAACGTTACCACGAAGCAAATAATGTGTAACCCTCCCACCAAAAAATAAGATTTAAATGCCGTCAAAAAATAAAAATTAAAAATTCCTAGTTTATATGTATAAATCAAAAAAATTAAATACTATTATAAAATTCTTTTATATGGAATATTTCTACCGACCAATTTTTCTACGTTTGTATTTTTTACGATATGAGTACTATCACAGGATAAAATCCTTTATTAATAATCAATAGAAGTAAGTTCAATCTCACAGTTTGCGGTAATGCACCTTTATTTCATAGGTGTCGACCACTTAAATAAGCAACTACTCTACAGGTCGACAATACCACTGTTGAGACGTATTAGCAGCGCTATCTAGAGGAGTTTTTAGTAACTAGGTTCGGTGACGGTACACGGTAAGCAATGACAATAAAAAGTACCGAAAGGAACGATGGAACAAGTCATTTGGAATCGTTCTTTTGTAAACCTGGAACGAAAGGAACGATTCACTAAAAGGAACGAAATATCACATGACTATTTAACGTCAGGATTTTTCGTCTACTAAAATTTACCTTTAAAAAGCGTAAGTATAAATCGTATCATTGATTATAAACTGTGGCGTGTTGACAATGTTTTTAAGGAGTGGCCGCTCTATCAAAATTTGGGTGGTGGGTAGTTGATAATTAGATGGATATTGTTTTGCTTATGCGAATAATACAATTGTTATTTTTTAATCGTCCGTCATCAATAGACCAAATAATATCTAAATATCAATAAAGATAATATTACAATATGAAATATATTACAGTTTTACTTTATTCTGCATACAGTTCAATATACAGCTTTTCGTATAAAAAAAAAATCGTTGCAAGATAGATAGACAGGATATGGGTAATCACGTAACAACCCCAAAATTCGCAAACTATTCACTGGGTTGAAGAGGCACGCGGGTGACAGCTAGTATGTTATATAGGTACCTAATCATAATTATGGTTTTCCGAACGAGAATAGTGAATTCCTTGCTCTTTCACAATGAGTTAATGACTAGGTATATAAATTATGAAAATAAATTGATTGCCCGGGGAGAGGAAAGATTTTTGGTGAAATATATTTATATCTTATAGTACCTATTCCATTTAATTTATGTGAAAAAGAAAATAATAATTAGTTGGCACATCGATTTGCCATGTTTGTTTTGAGTTTTAGTTTTTTTATTTCTGAACACCGTGTGACTCTTTAATTATAGTGGATTATAGTAAGGATCAGTGGTTAGTTACTATTATATTAAAATATATTTTCTGCATTGCTTCGGTAACAGTAAAAATTTTTAGGATTGACATTATAAACCCCCACCAGAGAGAATATATTGAAATGTTAAATCGATGGGTACTTCTAAAACCCAAATATACTTCACAACATCAAGTGGGGGCACTGGTGTACCATAGAGCATCGTCTGTCTAATTGGTATTACTAAATATTAACGATTTTAATAAAGATAAATAATTTCTATTGATGGCCCTGAAAATGGTCTGTTCAATGAAGATTTATAAAAGGAAGATTGTGAATTCGATTAAGCACGTTCTCAACGGATAAAACGAGCCAACTGAATGTCTTTCGGCATAATGGCAACGCGCCTGGCGTGGATGGCGCATAAGTTAATGTCTTCGAAAAGACCGACCAAGTACGCTTCACTGGCTTCTTGCAAAGCCATAACAGCAGAGCTCTGGAAATGCAAGTAGGTTTTGAAGTCCTGGGTGATTTCACGGACCAAACGTTGGAAAGGCAGTTTGTGGATCAATAGCTTCGTACTCTTCTGGTTACGACGAATCTCACGGAGTGCGACTGTTCCCGAATGGTAACGATGTGGTTTCTTCTAGTGATGGGCGTAATCGAGATATCTCGATTATCAAAATAATAATTCGATTATTTACCTGAGAGATTATTTCGAGAATATCTCGTTTATTTTAAAAACAATCAATTTTTGATCTCGAAATGTGTATCGAATGAAAAATATTTCGAATGCTTTTCATGGAACGAAGGAGTGAGGGAGAAATATTAAGCACTTGAATTACGCTAACGCTACCACGAACAAACATGCAATAAAAACCGATAAAATCATCACTCTCCTATCAGATCTTCTTTCAACTATCTCTACTTCAGATGACCCAAAAACATTCATCTCGGTCACCATAAATTCATTCATATCCCTCCTCAAAAACAGCTATGAATAACATCAAAATCCTATTTTGGAATTCCAATGTTGTTACGAACAAGCTAAATGAACTTCAGGCTCTCGTCAGTCTGCTAAATGTCGATATTATCCGTATCAACAAAACACACCTAAAAACTACCGCCAAACTTCATATTTCCAACTTCCATACATACAAGACTGATCTACCATTCGTCATAGGATTCTCAGGTCACCGTGGAACCACCATTTTTATCCACCAACCTATATCTCTTCGCACAGATCTACAGTCTACATCAAATATTATCCAACTAGAAAATTACAAAATATTAATATCTGCTGTTTACAAACCATCAAACCAAATTCACGATTCAACTGATCTGGACACGCTTACCCAAAGCTCCGAATGGTCCATAACCGCTAGTAAACTCAATTCAAATCACCCCCTATTGCATAGCTGAACCATCAACCCGGCTGGCTCCACATTATATAACTATGTCAAACAAAATGACTATGTTGTCCGAGCGCCAATTACTCCGACATACTACCCCTACAGCCAGTCGTTTCGGCCAAACGTGCTTGACATAGTCCTTATAAAAGTTACATTGGCCGTCCAAATCATGAACTTTCGTCAGATTATAATTCGGTCGTAATAGAAGAAAATAGCACACCAATAACTTCATTTTTACTATTAGTATAATGGAAAATAAACGGGAACAATATGAAGAGATAATATATATAAAATACACGACTCGTTACAAACTATTAATAACTAAATTATATATCAGAGGATTAAGGAACATGATACATTGTGGAATAAATAATAAGATTTTAAATAACTTTGTATTTGGTGGCCCTAAAAAGGGCCTTTTTATGGTGTAACATGCGAGACACGTGACAAAGTTAAACCTTCTTTTCCGTTTTCTTGGGCAAAAGGACGGCTTGAATGTTGGGCAACACACCACCTTGGGCGATGGTCACTCCGGACAACAGTTTGTTCAACTCCTCATCGTTTCTGATTGCCAATTGCAGATGTCTGGGGATGATACGAGTCTTCTTGTTGTCACGGGCTGCGTTACCAGCCAATTCCAGAACTTCAGCGGCCAAGTATTCCATGACGGCAGCCAAGTACACCGGGGCACCGGCGCCGACACGTTCGGCGTAGTTTCCCTTCCTCAACAGACGATGGATACGTCCGACGGGAAACTGGAGCCCGGCACGAGACGACCTGGTCTTCGATTTGATTCCCTTTGCTTTGCCTTTGCCTCTTCCGCTCATGATTGCTGTGTGGGTTTGAATGTAACGTTTATCGAAAAGAATTGACGAATGATACCATTGTAAAACAGAAAATTGCGTTTATATACATATTGCGTACATTCAAAACGATTACAATTGGATAATGTTTATAAAAATATAACAATTTAAAATAACATTTTCAACCTATCATTTTACCAATAAATGTGTGTGTTTACAAAAAAATAAAGTTTACAAAAACACATTTTTCTATACTGAAATGGTAACGAAAAACGTACTTTAAGTACTCATAAAATATTAATATCGATCAATCAAATGAACCAGTTACACGGGATTTTGTTTTAGATACCGTGAGCAAATATGTTTCACGAACGAAAAAGTTGCGAGCAAACTTTTTTCATCTCTGCCTGCAAACTCTCTCTTAGCAAAGGTTCACGATTCTAACTCCGTTAAATTAATGTGCTTCGAACAAGACTACTTTCGTCTAGTCCAAAAATATTTGCATTCGACAAACACCGAATTCCTTCACTCACCCATCATCCTTCGAACGCACTTTAAAAATCGTCATCAAGGGCCTTTTAGCTGATTCTACCGACTCCGTGCTGGAATCCTATCTTAAAGAAAAATGATATGACGTCCTTAACGTCCGTCAATTCGGCAACCATACCAAAAAATATCCTATCTACATGGTAACACTTGTTTCCAATCCAACCAACAAACTTATATTCCGTGAAACTAACATTCTTTAAATGTCCGTTAAAATTGAAAGCTACCGCTCCAACAAACCGGCCCAATGCTTTGCATGCCAACGTTTCGGTCACTCAAACCTTCGATGTGGCTACGCCCCTCCGCGTTGCGTAAAATGCTCAGGACCTCACTTGGCAAAAGACTGCCAAAAACCAAAAGAACAGGACCTAGCCTGCGCCAATTGCAGTGGTAACCACACTGCAAATATTTCTAAATGCCCAGCGATTCTTTCCATAATCGCACGCCGTCGCCCACTTCGTCCGAACTCTATCCCCACTCCAACTCATCCCAATCCAATCAGTCCACTGCTCCTATCTCTCCTCAATCCAACATTTCCTACGCTTCCAAAGTAGCAAACCCAAACCCTTCCACGAGTAATACCGACAACTTGGTAAATGACGAATTAATTTCTTTAAAATCCTGCCCTCGCAACCAGCCCATATACTTCACTCCAGGCGAAGTCTGGAACACCATAAAGTCCCTCCCTACTCGCAAAGCACCAGGCCCTGATGGCATCAACAACAGTGCCCTCAAATACTGCGACAGAAAAATAATATCCCACATTTGCCATATTTTCAACTCCTGCTCCAGAGCCGAATACTTCCCCCACGAATGGAAACGAGCAGTAATCATTATGATCCCCAAACCCGGCAAAGATGTTTTAAACCCTAAAAACTTCAGACCTATTTCACTCCTAAATTCAATCTCTAAAATTTTCGAACGCCTGTTGCTCAACAGAATCCAATTCCACTCCTCCATCTAATTCGTCACGTCCAACATGGTTTTCGTCATAACCACAGTACCTCTACCCAACTTCCCACAGTCATCGACGACATTGTAAATAACTTCAATAAACGAATCAAGTCCGTGGCTGCCTTGTTAGACGTTGAAAAAGCCTTTGATAAGGTTTGGCACGACGGCCTTATTTTCAAACTCTCAGCTCTTGAACAAGAATAGCTGTTCCACCGGAAGGTGGGTGGCCGGGGGCTGTGGGACGGTTTGTGGTGTATGTGAAGAAGTCTAAGGCTCGGTTGAGCTTGAAGAAGCGTTGCCAGCCTACAGAGGAGTCACACAAGGATTCTAAGAAGTTTGACCACTTGTGGTTATTGTAAGCCGACATCAGTTCTTTGACCTTTGTGACCTGTTTATTTAAAGCGGTTTTGACTATGGGGTCACGGAAACGTTGCCAATGGGAATGGAGGTGGCGTTTGAAATTTATTTTCAGTTGGAGGTTTTTCGGGATTGAAGAGAGATTTCTGTTGGGGGGACGGGGAATGAGTTAGAGGCGATGTATTGAAAGATGATGGAGGAGAGGGATCGAATGGCGTCATCGATTTCGGATGGGTTCTGGCCTAAGTGGGTGGGATATGACGCACCATTCAATTGTTTTCCGAATTTGTCCCAGTCAGTGAGGAAAGAAGGGTTTGGAGGTAGCTGATCAAAGTTTATGTGGAGGGTGAGCAATATGAGAGTGTGGTCAGAGGAAAGTTCCGTGGGGAAGTTTTTGGCGTCGAATGGAATGTTACCAGTTTTTAATATTGCAATGTCGATAATGTGTGGGTTATAGTTGCTTTTATCTGGATAGTGAGTTGGGGAGTCTGGTGAAGCTATTGTTATGTCGTTTCTGGAACATAGAAGGTTGGACAGCGCGTTGCCAGCTGAATTAGTTGTGGTACTGTGCCATGAACGATGTTTGGCGTTTAGGTCACCGGCTATAACTGTTTTGGTTGGAGAGTTGAGAAGAGAGGTGATGTCGGAAGGTTGACGAATGTTTTATGGTCTTTTATAAGCTGCTGATAGACGGAGTTCAGTGTCGCACACATGAATGTGAACGGTGGTGTTTTCGAGAGATGAAGTAAGAATAGTTATTGGGTTGTGGGAGAATCTTCTGTGAACAAGAATAGCTGTTCCACCGGAAGGTGGGTGGCCGGGGGCTGTGGGACGGTTTGTGGTGTATGTGAAGAAGTTAGAAGTTTTAAAATTTTGTTGATCGGAAAGGTGGGTTTCGTTGAGTAGGAGAACGTCTATTTTGTGAAGTTGTACGAAGTGCCCCGTGGAAATGTCGTTTATATATGCTACCATACAGCAGTGGGGAGAAGCATAATCCTTTTGGGATTCCAGTAAGCTCTTCCATGACTTTTTCTTCGTTTATGTCTAGAGGGATGCCTTTAATTGCCATTTTGAGAGATTTTTCTTCGGAAAGAGCGAAAGTGTGATAGTTAATTTTATTTTAATTTAGACATTTTTGGACGACACGGAATGATTTTTCTTCAGAACAGCTGAGTTGGATTTGCATTGGAATTGATATTATTTTCGCGGTCACTTGATCATGGCCCTGTATTGTATACAAGGTTTTTGATATTTTAAAATTATATCAAAATTGATATTTTGATAAATAAAAAAATAATATTTACTTAATTATTAATAATGAAATACAATTTATGGTGCTAATAAATGTACACTTTACTCCACGACGGTGTAACAGGTAAGTCATACCCTCGAAAAATATTACAGGAGGGGGGATAAGATTGTCCTAGGCATATTTTACCCCCGTTACAATTATCCTAGGATAATCTTACCTCCCGGTAATAATTTACTAGGAATATTGTACCTCGAAGCGGTATGAATTTCCTAGGACATTTTTATCCCTCCGGAACAATATTCCTAGAACTTTACTACGTTCTAAAAACAAAGCACAAATTCAATTAGTTTTTTATGCGATCTGTTTCTTAATGTAAATACAATGGTGTAGGTACAAACGTTATTTCATTAATAAAATTTGTTTTTTCTCTTTGATGTTATCTACTTAAAATAATTTTTATTAACAGATCATATGCAATTTTAGATTTCAATACCACAATTTTCCTAATTTTCTATATATTATGACTGTCTGGTAACTGGCGTAATAAACATGTAAAAAAGTTTGGTGTCGTCGATAACGCCTTACAAATAATTTCCAAAAATACTATGATTTCAGTGAAATAGATAAACATCTAGCTGTCACAGTACTATTACCAATCTAAGGAAAACCATGATCAATATTAAGATACTAGAAATTTATAACAAAAGTATACACGATAATATACTAATCAATGATTCGTATTTGTTGGCCCGACCGGGTCGGCTAGATTATTGTATGCATTGCGACTAGGGACAGCCCGCCAGGACGAAAAATCTCCTCGTAGCCGTGATACACTTTAGAAAAAAAAGTACTTTGAACTTACCATGTCGATTTTTATCAAAAAAAAGCTTTTAATTTTTTTATTTGTTTGTAATACAGGTATTTTATTTCTGTTGCGCTTTCCTTTTTCTCTTGGCAGCACCACTGAGTTGATTTGGTTTCATGGATTAATTTCATTTAATTTTAAGCTGCCCAGCAGGGCACAACACTCTTTGATGCCGATCGGTTTGGGCCCTATGGCCGTAACAACTAACAATAATAAGTACACGTTTACGTTACTGATGAGTAGTGATGGGAATAATCGGATGATTCGATTATTAAGATAATTGAATGATACTATACATATTTATCAAATGCAAATTAATTGAATTATTCGGAAAAATCGCGAGTTATAAATTTATCAAAAGGTTTAAAACTACCTACGTAATTGCCAAGAACCATTTAATCGAGAAGTCCATCGGTATTGTAATATTATTTATTTTATTTTTAATCATTGGTTTAATTCCCGGTATCGGTAATCGCCACACTAATCGGTTCGATTCGTATAAATATTTGGATAGAAAAAGCACGGTTATGGATAATCCTTTGATTATACGAGTTCGGATCATTCGAATACTCGATTATTTTTATTTAAATTACTTGCTTATCATACTATTATTTAATAACTAATGGGCAACCGGTGGTCGCCGGGTATCCGGGTGGGCCAGACCGATACCAGATATTATTTAAATATTAACGATTAAAGTTAAATGATTTCTGTTGATGGCCTTTTATGGAGAGTTTGCAAAAGGAAGAAGAATAAATTATATGAATTCCATCAATATTTTTAATATTTTAGTTTGAGTATAATAATATTACCATAACAAAAACAACTGTTGTGTAGCGAGCCGGCCTGCGAGAGGACGAAACAATACACCGTTGACGAATAAATACTTGAATGGTTCACGTCTGTGATGTAGAGTTGTTGGAAGGTGTTTAAATGATAAAACACTATGTTTTAATGTTATACAGATGTGTGTAATAATATAAAAAATAAAATAGTAATTGTAATTGAAAGTGTGAGGACAGAGTATTTTTAAAGCTCTGTCCGAGAATAATAAAGTTTGATTCTCAGAGCTGGCGGCGATGTGAGGCGCGCGGGCTTCATGACCAGATGAGCGTCGGTGCAGTAAATTAGTTAACACTAGTTTTAAATCATTCTACTATTCTTAATACATGGGTTAACGGATACGGTATTTATAGGTAGCTATTTAGGATAAGAGTTAGGTCGATAGGGATTCTGACGGATGTGAACAAGAAAACTTGCTTCTGCGATTATTGAAAATTGCATATCAATACGAGTAAGTATTGATATTGGTTTCCGTTACATTGGTATAAATACCATAATGATAATAGAGGATGTTTGCTATACGATGGTATACTACTATAGGTTATAATACGTGTTTAAACAAAATTCTGTTAATCTTTAGTGAATAGTATAATTGGTGGCCCTGAAAAGGGCCTTTTTAAAATCGAGATGGGCAATTAAATTTCTTAAGCACGTTCTCCACGGATACGACGGGCCAACTGAATGTCTTTCGGCATAATAGTGACTCGTTTGGCATGAATAGCGCACAGGTTGGTATCTTCGAAAAGACCGACCAAGTATGCTTCGCTAGCTTCTTGCAAAGCCATAACGGCAGAGCTCTGGAAACGCAAATCGGTCTTGAAATCCTGGGCGATTTCACGGACCAGCCGTTGGAAAGGCAGTTTGCGGATCAACAGTTCCGTGCTCTTCTGGTAACGACGGATCTCACGGAGAGCGACTGTTCCCGGGCGGTAACGATGTGGTTTCTTCACTCCGCCGGTGGCCGGTGCGCTCTTACGAGCGGCCTTAGTCGCCAACTGCTTCCTCGGTGCCTTTCCTCCGGTGGACTTACGGGCGGTCTGCTTGGTACGAGCCATGACGATTGGGCGAACGGGTTTACTGTTGTTGACAAGAAAAATTGATATGCACGAATGATGTCCAAAATCAAATGACCGGCTTATATACAGAAATGAGACGATTGTACGTGAACACGATTGGTCGACAGTTTTTCATGTTTCCATTCGTGGGGAGGGGGAAAACGATTTGATTATGCGTTCCAATTGGTCGTTCGGTCAACCGAAATGGTTTATAAACAGAACACCTTCGAAATTTCGAACATCCAACGTTAAACGTTCAGTTACTCATATCGTCTACTATTCGTAAGAAGCAGCAACATGACCGGACGAGGCAAAGGAGGAAAAGGTTTGGGAAAAGGAGGAGCCAAGCGTCATCGTAAAGTGCTCCGTGATAACATCCAGGGAATCACGAAACCTGCAATTCGTCGGTTGGCTCGTCGCGGTGGTGTCAAACGTATCTCCGGTTTGATCTACGAAGAAACCCGTGGTGTGTTGAAGGTGTTCCTGGAAAACGTTATCCGTGACGCCGTTACCTACACCGAACACGCCAAGAGGAAGACGGTCACCGCCATGGACGTTGTCTACGCATTGAAACGTCAAGGGCGTACCCTGTACGGTTTCGGAGGTTAATTTTACTCGTTCGACTTGCAAATAATCATAAAAAAGGCCCTTTTCAGGGCCATCAATTTTTTCTTTTTTTTTTTTTATTAAAATCAATTAAATATTTTATATCGTCTCATGATGGTGTCTGTTGGGTGGGCTGGTAACATACACATGAGAGCCTCGGAGCCTGCATCCATCGTTCGTGTAAGCCAAGGGTGACAACCTAAATAATATTGTGGGCCGCAATACAAAAAAATTAGGAGTGAAATGAGTAAAACAGGTAAATTATTATTATAAAATGAGTTGAGGTGTATGAATATTTGAAATAAATTTAATGAATTATTATTGTTTTTCTCGGAATCCAATTCTTTCAAGAACTCGTAATTTACTGTTTTCAATACTTCAACACTTAACATGATTCATCGACAATACTTGGGAACAAAGATTTTGTTGATGAATCAAACAGTTTGTTGTGATTATGTTGTTAACAATATGGCTTCCGCGTTGTGCGGGCATTCCACAATATTTCATTGGAACAAACATTTCAAAGTTGGCCATCATTTTGTGTAGACAGTGCTTGAAACGCGGGCTCGCTGTACTGCAACGGCGATTTCTGACATCACCACGTCCGTCATCAACAATACTCACTCGCTTCTACAGGCAACAGCGCCAACTTAAAACAGCAGTTTTCACTGCTACCCTCCAACAGGCTACAGCGTCAATCCGAAACAGCCGTTTTCACAGCTTTCACAGGACATCAGCCTCCGTCCATCATCCAAATTCCGCGGACCGCAGCACTCGGGTTAGCTGCGGCTGTAAAACTGAAAGATCGCGACAACAACCACCCCGTCAGGGCACCAGCGCCCAAGGTAAGCCGTCGCAAAAGCGACGGTTATTTTATTATTCCGATAAACCCGTCCGCTGCAGTGAGGCCGCGCATCGCCACAGCACCCCCTCCTATTCTTTTCCACGTTTCACTTCTCTCGTTTCTGTACCACATTTCTTTTACTCTTTTTAATCTTCCTAATCTTTTCACTTTGAATCTTCTTATCTCTCTTTCTGCAATTCACTATTCTTCCCTTTTTCTCCTATATATATATATATCTCATTCCGCTTTCCACTTCCAGCCCACCGCTAAACAACAACCAAAACAAACATGCCGTCTAACCGCAAACGCCCCAAAACCAGTCCCCCGCCCAACCATAAAAAGAAAAAATCCACTACAACAAAAACCAGCCCTTCTCCACCAGTCTCTCCGCCACCCGTCGAAATGCATTTTCCAACTCATTCCCGGTCTAACTCCATCAGCCAATTCGCACCTATTCATCATCCGCTCATTCTATTATCACTCCGGCACCTATTCCACCGATCTTCCTTTCTGGTGACGTCTGGAAAAAAGTCGCGAGTAAACTTCTTTCTTCTCTGCCGGCAAACTCCCTCCGAGTTAAAGTTCATGACTCAACCTTCGTCAAACTATTGTGCTTCGAACGAGACTACTATCGCCTAGTTCAAAAATATTTGCATTCGACAAACACCGAATTCCTTACTCACCCCACATCCTCTGAACGCACTTTAAAAATCGTTATCAAGGCCCTTCTAGCCGATACAACCGACATCGAACTGGAATCATTCCTTAAAGAAAAAGGATATGACATTCTTAACGCCCGTCAATTCGGAAACTTTTACATTGAGTTCACTCGGCAAATACTTTCGGGCGGTCTTTCCGCGGCAATAATGTGATTCGACGCAATGAAATCTATTAATAAAATTCATGATACATTCTCTTTTAGGCCTAAAAGTATCTTCATGTTTAAAACCACCTCTTTTTACTTCAACAAAACCTTCGCTATGAAATGCTTTAGTAATACGATTAACTTTAAAACGAGAAACATGTAGGATACTGAGGAACGCATTCATACACACGGGGACTAACACTTTTTTGCTATTTCTTACAAAATGCTTTGTCGTTCTATCAAGTTGAGATTTATTTGAGTTACCTTTATCTTTACGTTCGCGACGTCTTTGAACAATATTTATTTTAACGTACTTAAGTATAAACTGATCTTGGATCTTCTTATCTTGTACTCGATAAAATAAGCTGTGAAATTCACTAATATCTTTCATTGTAAGTGACTTACATTTGAATTTGTTTGTATCGTGATTACATGTCGAACGTATCGGTAGCATTGTTGGTTTATATCTACAATCAACATAACGTCAACAATATTAAATAAATTAATTAATAGGTACATAAATAATTTGATTAAAACACACCATTCATTTTTTCTATATTTTTTTCCAATTCGATTCATTTCTCATGCGCTTTTTGGGCCGTTTACCAGGTGAAATATCAGTTTTCATTGTACGTAATTATTACAGTAAATTGTATTTAATTTAATTAAATTATATTTTACACACACGTCAAGATGTATAGGTAATACAGTATAAAAATAATTATTTAACGTCGCTCGTGTTTTCGCCGTCGATGGCACTAATGTACTAATGCACATTCCAATTTTCTCATTAACAATTTAATTAATATAATAAATAATAAATAAAACGGTTCTAAATTTATATATTAGTTTTATACGTTCTAATATGACATACATATTATTGTTCGGGGAAGACCAACAATTAAGTATATCTGAAACAACAGTAATTATTTACGTTTCTCACTCATAATTTTATTATTAGTTACAAAACTCACATGATCCAACGGAACATGTTAGTTTTGACAATTACTATGTGTTTCTTAACGGTATTTACACGGGTTCTTGTAAGTTTTTAAACAAACTAATTATAGATTTTAATTCCCCGTCAAAATTTCTATTAAACAGTGTCGACAACTCATTTTACCATTTTTTGGAACATGTGACTTTTGATTTTAGCCTACTCATTTATTCGTACTATTATAGAACAACGGTTTTAAAACGCATAACGACGTGGTGTAGTATTAAATGGCTATTGTTTGGATATCAAAAGAGTATTGAAAAATTTTGATTTACTAATTGGTACTAGTACCGAAAACACTGTATCAGTAAAGTATCGACACAAAATTACCAATATGAGTAGTTATTAAATGAAAAAAAAAAAAAGGAGTATGCAAATTCCATACACTTTTATCCTTTCAGCTGAAATAATGATAGTAATTAAATATTATTTTGATACCTATAATAAGTATGTAATGGATAAATTATACTGTATAAATATTTATATGATCAAGACATTACAATTACATTACAATTTGTGCAAATGTTAACTCATATAGAATGTATATTATATATATATTTACTTGGATTAGATATCGGCGATATGGTGTATAATAAATTATTCGATACCAACAATACTTTTTTTAATCTTTACGAGCAAAGCATCGAAACAATGGTAGGTATCGTTACCAAAAAGTACTCGTATTGACACTTTACTGGTGTCGGTAGTATCTCAACGTCCCTAATCACGAGTCCATTTGTGATATCATCACCAATATATCTTACCTCATATGAGTACCTATTGTTCTTTTACGATCAAAAGTTTCTTTAATATTATTTAAATCTAGTGTCAAAAATATTATTAGCACCTGAACGTCGTATATACTTTTAGTCAATACGTTTCCGCTTCCTATGCAGCATTAATATAATTCACTTGTTATAAAATCTTTAAGCACGTTCCAAGTGACCAGTTAACGCAATTTTTATTTTATTTTAATTTATCAAATTTAAAATGTGTTAGCATATCAGCATGTTATTACAAGTTTCTTATCGGTACGGTTAAAATATTAAAATATAAAGGTCTTTCATGAAAAAGGTATAAAGGAATAATATATTTATAGAGTTTATAAGAATTATTTATTATATTTGTTCTTTGTCTGAGCTAACACCAGATAGTAGTAGATCTTGTGGCAATCGCGGTTTTAAGCGTCAATTTTTAGTTTTGGTTCTCTGGTTGTAGAAAAGTTCTTCATCAGAGGTGTTGATATTGGTGTGGACATTTTTAAACTGGGTTTTTATCATGTCTTGAAGGAGAGGTGTAATTGTGTCGTTGTGGATTTGTCTATTCCTCGTGAACTTTGAACCTTTAAAGCATATTCTTAACAATTTGTTTTGGAGAATTTGTATTTTGCTTATTTTAGTCGTGGAAGCTGCTGCTCGTACTGGGCAGGCGTAAGTGATAATTGGTCGGATTATTGAGGTGTACGTCACGCAAAGCCTTGACGTATACATACAGGTAACAGATGTATTTCGGTTATTGAGTCTTATTTTGTTTGAGTGTTGAATTTATAACAATATTTGAGAAACGATTTTAAAAATCACTTCACTTAGGTATGTGTACAATTATTTGGCATTATATCCAACACCAATTCTGAAAACATAATTCCTGTGCTCCACCGTCGAATCGAATAATGACCGTTCACTTTAGTGTCGATTTAAACGAAAATGGTTTAAAACTCCATCAAAAACGATTACATTGTGTAAAACACAACGTAGGTATAAGGATTTAAAATTATACATTAGTAAGCTAAAATGATAAAATATCGTTTTACCATGGTTTTTACTGTATACCATAATTCAACTACACCGATGCCGATTTAGGATACGACTAAACACCACAAATTCAGAACAACACAATCGGCCCAAATGTTGACCAAACCTAATGAACTGAACACTGAGTGACGTCAAAATATATGTAGATTAAGAATAATTTCGATTTTTTAATTTTTCATTATACTATTTGATTTAATTAATCGAAAACAAAAACGTACCGCAAACCGTGAAGGTGCGTGAAAACAACTGTTTATAACTAATCGTGAAAAAATCTTACGTATTCAAAGACATTGTAATTATATTAAAAATGTTGTTGGCTTTCCATAAACATAAATTTTAATATCGAACCATAGATTTTCAATGAGAAAAATAGAACTTTTTAAGTCGTATCACTACCAATATCACTATTTGCTTTTTAGATCGTTTACTAGTCGGTACGGTAGCTAAAATAAATATGTACAATTTTTCCGAGTTCGAACATCACCAAGTTTTGAATGTTATTCTACGCTCAAGAGTTCAACAGATTTCATTATGACGGACACCGCAGTTGCAACTTCAACACCCGCCCCAGCCGTGACGAAGACTAGTCCTAAGAAGAAGGTTGCGGCTAAGGCCAAACCTACCGGTTCTTCTCACCCGAGCACTGCGATTATGGTTACCGCGGCGATTAAGGAATTGAAGGACAAGAAAGGCTCGACTCTGCAGGGAATCAAGAAGTACATGGCCGCTAACTACAAGGTGGATTCGACCAAATTAGCTCCATTCATCCGCAAATTCTTAAAAGCCGCCGTCGCCAAAGGACTCTTGGTTCAAACCAACGGTTCAGGTGCATCGGGTCATTTCAAACTAGCCGCGGAAACGAAGAAATCCGTTCCTAAGAAGAAGATCGTTGCCAAGAAACCAGCTGCCAAGAAGGCGACTGTTGCTTCAGCCAAAAAGAGGAAATCGTTGGTGAAAAAGTCCAAGGCGGAGCCGGCTGCTAAGAAAGCCAAGAAAGAAGTAGCTGCTCCCAAGCCGAAGGCCGTGAAGCCAACTAAGGCCAAAAAGACTCCTGCTACCAAGACCAAAGCCCCCAAGGCCAAGAAGACCCCGGTGAAGAAGACTGCACCCAAAAAAAAATAAACCTACTATAAAAGTAGTTTATTTATCATACTCTTTTAAAACGGTCCTTTTCAGGACCACCACATTTGTGTTAATCATTCATTCTATTCCCTTTATTTTTTTATAACATTTGTAATAAATACTAGAGATGAGAATTCCAACTCATTCTGCTGAGCGAATCTTTCAACTCAATTGAGTTGAATCAAAAAGTCGTGTCCCACCTTTTCAACTCTGTTTAAATCAGATTACCACTGCTCAACTCTTCAAGTCTCGCTCATATATTCACAGTCCATCTTCATATCGTTATCTTATCCAGATAAAATATAAAAAATATAAAATTGACATCTAATTTTCGTTTAGATAAAAATCATAGCCATCTAGATAATAATTCACAAAATCTGTATCTACAATTTTATCATTCAATATAAAATAAATAACTAAATAAGAAATTTCATTTGTATATTTACTTGCAAAAATTGGTTCTAAAATAGTTTTACATAGCATTTATTATTATGATAATTATGAAGAATGACAATTTATTAGGTATATAGACATATATTACTTACATAATATGCATGGGAGGTGGGAATTATTTATAATTTCATAGTATAGCCCGTACGAGGAAGTCTCATGCCCGTATTACTATTGTGTTGTAGTATTACGAACGCCGAAAGAGCATTTACAAGAATATTAGAACCAGAGATAACGCGCCATAGGTCTAAACCTATTGCAGCTGCGCGGTAGATGGTTTATAAATAATAAAATACAGAAATAATTGTCGATAAGAAAATAGCAATATTACAATATGCATTATGCTGTACCTACACAGAAATTGATCGTTCTCCATCATCATTCGACCGCCGTAAATTCAATATTTATCCATAGATTATGTCCATTGTTCAAGTAATCATGTGCTCTAAGTAATTTTAATTACCGGACCTCAATTCTATGAATTCGTACTTTGATGTGTCTACAAAATATTATTGTACAACAAAATAAATATTGGGCGTGAAACGTCCGTTATTTATTAAAAACTTGTACTGTACGCAGCGCACTCTCATCCACAACGTGTTCAGTGTTTATCGTCAGACCGTTTTCATATTTTTCATAATTTTGTCTATGACTTTCAATTTTATTGTATTGGTGAAATATTTTATATTTTGAAATGGATCGTTACATAATACAATCATTGTCCAAGACCAAACGGATGAAAACGCTGATGCCTAATATAAATATCTAGATAAAAATTATTTTATCTATCTATATCTAGATAAAAGTGATTTTATCAATTTATATCTAGATAAATTCAATTTCTACAGTATCTATCTATATCTAGATAATTCTTTTTTATCTAAGCACAACACTGATACTGTGGGACTCAATTGTCGTTTACAATAAAGTAGCGAATCCAAAATACTCGTTGCATCGGGTACAATCGGTACAATTTTTTTTTTGTTTTAGTCACACTTGCATTTGTGGATTCGTTTTGTTCCGCACACAACGATTCGGATGTACTCGACTACTCGTTCATAATGGTTATTAAGCAACGAATACGCTTCGTACGCATTTCGTACATTACTACACAAGTGCATAAACCGATCAACCCATGGTCGAGGATTTATTTACGCTGTATACTGCAATACAAGTACGGGTTTTGTTTTTTTGAAACGGTATTGGATCGAATACATCTCGCCTTACTAGCCTAGCGTTTTGGCATTAGTCGTTCAGTAGTGGAGGGTCGCTACCGCTGTATTCGGTACAATGTAACGATCTGTAGTACACAGACCGATTGATGGGGATTTGCCTACGCTATAGACTGCGACGAAACAACGCGTCGAGAATTCGTAGACAAAAATAAATAATTCTTAAGACATTCTTATCAGAAATTGACGAACTAGTGGTGAGAGTTTATCGTTCCAATCGATACAGTTACAAGAAATTAGAAAGTACCGATTCCAAAATACTAAATTTTTATTAGAAACGGTATGTTTACAATATTATAAGTTGTAATAAAAATATACATTTTAAATATATAATCTAAAATTACCACCGTTTCAATGATATAATAATGCAGTTACAATTGAGTACATATATAATTAATTAAATCATAACATTTTTGAATAAAATAGTTTTACAATAATGGTGCGTCGTTACTACTGTATTCGTTGCAACGATTCCTTACATTGTACCGAATACGGTAGTATCGACGCACCACTAGTAACAGGTGTTCGATGTGTGTTCGTTCCTAAATATACTTTATGAAAGTGTAGTCGAGTACACTTGTATACTTGATCGTTCCGAATATAATTGTTACTAAGAAAAATTGTACCGATGTGACGAGTATTTTGGAATCGGTACTTTATTGTAACTGTACCGATTGAAACGATTCCACAGAAGAAACAATAATTCCCATCATTACTGTACAGTGTCTTTTACACTGTACTCGGAATTAATCAATAAATTTGCCTAAGCCTAAAATAATTATAGAGATAAAAATAATAACAAAATAATAGTAATTTATTTATTTATTTATTCGTACGGCTATAGTATTTAATAATTAAATGACTCTCTGTTAAAACAGGCGGGTTGTCAATATTTTCAAATTGAAAATTGGCTTGTGTTACCATTTTAGAAAGCATAAAATGTATAGCATTTGGTAAATTTGGTTTTATTTCATTCATGACCATATGACAATTCGTAACATGGTATCGATCAACGATGTAGTATTTTACCGACATCGTGTACCGATGTAACGAATGTGAAACGACAAAAGTACTCGTTCCACCGATGAATTCGTTACTTTATACCGATTACAGCCACCAATAATATATACTCGAATCGAAAATATCACATAAGTATTTCTACGGTAAAAAAACAAAAAAAAAAAAAAAACATCAGGTTAAACCATTAACCATTTTTTTTTTTTTTTACACATGTACAAAGTAATTTTTGCAGTTGATTCGTATGTTTTGAAATTAAGAAAAAATAATTTTATTTTTAAAAATATAATATGTATTATCAAATGTTATGATAAGTAGGATGTATATAAATTATAATGAAAAACTTCAAGATAGAACAATAAAAAAAAAAAATACAGTTCAATAAAAGTTCACAATAAGACCATTGGTGAATAGAAAAAACAGTGTAGATATGATTGTTTATTTGATTCAGTTTTCGTCAATCGAATAACTATCACCTAGCAAATTTCAAAATTATAATTACTTATTTTTCATTCGATTATTTTTGTTATAATCGAATTATACGATAATTTAAATGCACGTCCGTTTGACTGCGTGAGCACAACAGAATAGTGTACCTAACCGATAATTGTTAACTAAGTAAGGGTCAATTGTTAATTTGAGACTTATTATTTTTTATTGATTTATTTAGTTTGTTTAAATTATCTTATTTTGTTATTTTTATAATTATAAATTTATAATTTTTTTTTTTTTTATTATTATAATCGCGCTAGGAATCTAGCTACCTGTACGGTGCTGAAATTCGCGTCTTAACTATATTTTTTTTTTTCATTGATAGTAAAACATTATGTTAAATATGTAGAGAGTGGTGAGGGGGAAACAGGATCTTTGACATCTGACCGACCGGGATATGGTCTGGTGGACGAAAATGAGTCTTCGATTTCGGTAGTAAAAGAATTACAAACAGTTAAGGGGTCGGTCGGTCCATTTATGACTAAAAATAATGAATTCCTCCTACACCACAACATTTCTAGCCGGTGTTTGTTATTATATATATATAAATTATTAGTGAAATCGAAATCACATTATACCATAATTTGGTGGCCCTGAAAAGGGCCTTTTTAAAAGGGATACTCATGAAACTGTGTCATAAAATTATTTGGAGCTTGTGTATTTGGTCACAGCTTTGGTCCCTTCACTCACGGCGTGCTTGGCCAGTTCACCGGGCAACAGGAGACGGACGGCGGTTTGGATTTCCCGACTGGTGATGGTGGAACGCTTGTTGTAGTGAGCCAAACGACTTGATTCGGCGGCAATGCGCTCGAAAATATCGTTGACGAAGCTGTTCATGATGCTCATCGCCTTGGAGGAAACACCGGTATCGGGATGTACTTGTTTCAACACCTTGTAGATGTAGATGGCGTACGATTCCTTCCTTTTCGGCTTGCGTTTCTTGTCCGATTTGGTGATGTTCTTTTGCGCCTTACCAGACTTCTT